ACTACAATTTCAATTATTTTTTTTTTAAATTACACACCTCACTTGGAATAACATTTTGAAGTGTTTTTTCTATTTTAAAAAATGCATTGTAAATGTATCTTGATTTTTCCCATAGGAGTCCATTAGTAACTGTGGTAACTGGGTTTTGTTTTCCCCCATGCTAAACCAAACTGCAGACATAATTTTTTCAATAGCACTTAAAGGACTTACCTCTCCATTAAGAAAGCAGTAAAGAACAGCTACTACAAAACCCTGAGAAGAAAAATGGAACTTGTCAAAATGGTTGGTTAGGCAAAAGTAACAATTAATATAATATTGTTTAACATATAAATGATATCTAAATATGATATATAGGATAAATTAAGGTGGAATAAGTAATACTTTTTCAATTCAGATGGACAATGACCTCAAAATAATACAGTACACACCTAATAATAACAAATAGACTATACAATACATTACAGTGTACAAAATATACATGAAATAAATAAATAAAGTGTAGTGTTAGTTCTGCCAGGTCACGTGTGTCAAGCTTGCCTCAGCTGATCCACGTCTGCCTATAGGCATACAACGCCTATCACGGCATTCCTATATAAGGTTTATTCAGTATTATTCATCAGCTTTATCGCTTGCTCAGGAGCAAATTACCCTCCTCCATCCCCAACTCCTCCTTTTATCACAGTCAGGACTTGGCTTTCTGATATTCCTCATTGAATCATACTATTTTTAGCCTGAATAATGCTGTTACACTAAAATGTCATTAAGAACATTAAAAATGTCTGCATTTGTTTCTGTTCTGTTTACCCTAAGCGGGTTATTGCTGCACTCAGTTTTTGACTAGAACAGAACCAAACTGTATGCTAAATGTCGATCATCTTTAATGATAGAGGTCCTGACAGAAATAAAGTTGTCTCTTTGTACAAATATTTTAAGTTTAAAGTATGAGAAGACAAAAGGGGACTTCTACCTGAAAAGAACCAAGACCAAGTTCAAACACAAGTCTTTCTCTTTTGCTGACATCTTCTGGTGTGAAAGCAAACACGGTATAGTGAATTCCAAATAGAGGAATGAGGAGAAGAGTGGAGCGGGCCAGACGCCTGTCAATCACACAACACTCCAATCATGTCATAGAAAGACTGCACATCTTGAATGAAATGCTGTTAATCTTAGAATATATGTATGTGTACGTGTACGTGTATGTGCATATGTATATGACTAACAGATAAATGCTGGACTCATTCCCTCCAA